GGATTTGACAATTCCACTGAATCCCATATTTTTTAATCAAGAAATAGATCAAAACTTGGTATACTGCCTTCACCATCGTAATTTCCATGCATGAATCTTGCCCTGATCAAAAACTTAGAATAGCCACCTTCAGGTTTTAGAGTGTAGCAATTTCTTTTACCTTTAGGGAAGCTTCTGACATACAAAATGATGAAGTTGGTGATAACCTGCTGGAAATGGGACAAAATCCTACTGAAGGCTTAAGTTGCATTTTGGAGCCAAAGTTTTTGTTTTTGTTTTGTTAGGCTGCAATAGTTGTTATAACAGATTTTGAGGCAATCAAGTTAAGCTTATTTGACATGTTTTGTTGAGATTAAGACTTGATTTGGTATGTGCATTGGTTGAAATTCAAATGTAATATTTTTATTGTAATGCAGTCAGTAAAACAGTGGAACTTTCTTATATAAAAACTTTTGTTCAGTGAATGAAAACAGAGAGTGAAAAACTTTCAATTGTTGTCGTCTCTTTCCATTTCAAATCTCACATTTTACTCTGATTATCACTTCATCTGAACTAACAAATGGTATCAGAGCCATACTGATCTTAAGGGTCTGATAAACTCATCTCTCCTCGCTCACTTTCTCAACCTCTATTACGGTGAACCACCTATCAAGCTCCACACAGCCTGACTCAATGGCACAACACACAACCTCCCTTATTCCTCCAACCTTCAACGGTGATCAATACCACATTTGGGATGTCAAAATGAAAACCTTCCTAAGGGGACAAGGTTTATGGCAGTATGTTGAAGAGGATAAACAACGACCAGTATTGGGGCCAAACCCTTCTCTGAATTAGATCAGGTTGCACGATGAAGAAACCACCAAAGCACCTAAAGCCTTGTCTCATATCCATGCAGTAGTGACTGAACAAGTGTTTACAAGAATCATGGCATATGAGACAACCAAGGAAGCATGGGATAAACTCAATAAGGAGTTTGGTGGCAGTGATACAACAAAGAATATGCAGGTGTTGAACTTAAGAAGGGAGTTTGAAATGCTGAAAATGCAAGAGTTAGAATCAGTAAAGGAATATGTGGATAGGTTGATGAATGTAGTGAATAAAATCAGATTAATGGGAGAGGAGATGATAGATAAAAGGATAATGGAGAAAGTCCTAGTTAGTCTACCCGAAAGGTTTGAATCTAAGATATACTCATTTGAGGATTCTAAAGACTTGACACAAATTACTCTCACAGATTTAGTGTATGCCTTGCAAGCTCAAGAGCAAAGGAGATTGTTGAGGCAAGAGGACTCAAGTGACGGTGCAATGGTGGCTGGATTCAAAGGCAAACCAGGTTAGGGTGGAAGCAAGAGGTCTACAGGTGAAAAGAAAGGAAACGAGAAGATGGCCAACCAGTGAAGCAAACCAAGTGGAATGAGAGAGTTTCCACCGTGTGCTCACTGCAAAAAAAAAAAAAAAAAAAAAAAAAAAAAAAGGCATGATGAAAAAAGGTGCTGGTTCAGGCCTAACATTCAATGTAAAGCATGCAAACAATATGGTCACATTGAAAAGGTGTGCAAAAACAAACCAAATCAGTCAACACAGCAAGCACAGATTGTGGAGGACCAGTAACCAAACTCAGATTCTAAGCAACTATTTGTGGCTTCATGTTGTGCTGTTCAAGCCCACAATGATGATTGGTTGATAGACAGTAGGTGTACCAATCATATGACAGCAAACTTGGAGGACTTTGTGAACTTGGACAAGTCTTACCATTCCAAAGTTAAAGTTGGAAATTGGGAGTTTGTGGCTGTGAAAGAGAGAGTAGATATTGTTGTGCAAACAAAAACAAGTATCAAACTTATTCCCAATGTTTTGTATGTGCCTAATATAGGCTATAACTTGTTGAGTGTTGGACAAATGATAGAAAGGAAGTATGCCCTGGACTTCTAGGATCAGTTTTGCACAATCCTAGACAGTGAACGTAATGAGTTAATGAGAGTTAGGATGATGGGAAAAAGCTTCCCTATTAGGCTGAAAAAACTAGAACCAGAAGCATATGTTGTTGATGTGGATGAGTCAGAATTGTGGCATAAAAGGTTAGGCCATTTCAATTACCATAGCCTTAGGGAAATTTAGACCAAAGATTTGGTATGTGATCTGCCTAAAATTGCAAAAACCAAAACTATATGTGCTACCTGTCAACTTGGCAAGATGAGTAGACTACCATTTCCTGCAAACAAAGCTTGGAGAGCTGCTGAGAAGCTTCAGCTTATCCACACGGATGTGTATGGACCTATGCAAACACCATCTCTAAATGGAAGCAAATATTTTATCCTTTTCATTGATGACTACACCTAGATGTGCTAGGTTTATTTTTTGAAACTGAAGAGTGAAGTTGCAGTGGTGTTTGAAAGGTTTAAACTGAAAGTTTAAAAACAAACAGGCCTAAGCATTAAAAATGTCAGAAGTGACAGTGGGAGTGAGTACACCTCCACTAAATTTGAAAAAAAATCTACAGGCAAGCTGGAATTGTGCACCAGTTCAGCAATCCTTATACTCCACAACAAAATAGAGTCAGTGAAAGGAAGAATAGGACTATCATAGAGATGGCCAGGTGCATGGTTGCTGAGAAGTAGCTACCCAAATAAAGCTGTAAACACAAGGGGTCTATTTGCTTAATAGACTCACTACCAAGGCCTTAACCAATCAAACACCCTACAAGGCTTGGTATGGAGTGAAGCCTTTGGTTAGAAATCTAAAAATCTTTGCAAGTGTGTGCTATGCACTCATTCCAGTAGTTAAAAGAAGCAAGCTAGATGAGAAAGCCATGACAAAGATCTTTATAGGGTACAGTGAGCAGTCCAAGGCCTATAGAGTTTATGTTCTAGCAACCAGGAGAATTCACATCACTAGAGATGTGAAGGTAGATGAAAAGGGGATCTAGAACTAGAAGAAAATTGAAGTTGAAGAAGACACAAGAGAGTAGATTGCAGACACAACAGTAGGCAGATTTGATGATCCAAAAGAGACAGATTTGGATGATGATTTCCCAGTCAGGGGTACAAGGTCTCTGGCAGAGGTTTATGAGAGATGCAATACAACCTTGCTTGAGCCTACAAATTTCAGGGAGGCTGCTAAGTCAGAGGTCTGGAGGAATGCAATGGAGGAGGAGATAAAAATGATTGAAAAGAATAGCACATGGGAATTAGTTGACAGACCAACAACTAGAAGAGTAATCCAAGTAAAATGGATTTATAAAAAGAAGCTGAGGCCTGATGGGTCAGTGTACAAACACAAAGCAAGATTAGTTGTTAAGGGGTTTGCTCAACAATTTGGAGTGGACTTCTCGGATACATTTTGCACTTGTGGCTAGGCATGATACAATTAGACTTCTCCTTGCCTTGGCAGCCCAATTTGAGTGGAGAATCTATCAACTAGATGTCAAATCTACCTTCCTAAATGGTTAGCTCAATGAGGAAATTTATGTGGAGCAACCGGAGGGATATGAAGTGGAAGGGCAGGACCATAAGGTGTATTTGTTGAGAAAGGCTCTATATGGGCTGAAACAGGCCCCTAGAACCTGGTATAGTAGAATTAATGAGTATTTGATCAGCTTGGGATATGCAAGGAGTGCAAATGAACATACACTATATGTGAGAAGGCTGGAAAGTGAATTCACCATTGTGTCATTGTATGTTGATGACTTACTCATCATGGGAAGCAGCTCAACTCAACTTGAGGAGTTTAAAATGACCATGCACAATGAATTTGAGATGACTGACCTTCGGGAAATGTCTTATTTTCTTGGGATGGAGATCCACCAAAGTCACCATGGCAAATTTGTTAATCAAAGGAGGTTTGCCAATGAAATTCTGCATAAGCTTAACATGGACAGATGCAAACCAGTGGACACTCCACTGGTTGTAAATTTGAAGCTGAGCAAGGATGATGGGGCTGAGAAGGTTGATGAGAAAATGTATAGAAGTATGATCGGTTGCCTCCTGTACTTGACTGCCACCAGACTAGATTTGATGTTTGCAACCAATGTTCTTTCCAGGTTCATGACCAGCCCAGGTGAAATCCATCTCAAGACAGCCAAGAGGGTGCTAAGGTATGTCAAGGGAAGTGCTGAGCTTGGAATATGGTTCAAGAAGACTGAAAACCTGCAACTTATTGGGTACTCAGATAGTGATTGGGCTGGATGCATTGATGATATGAGGAGTACATTAGGTTATGTTTTCTTCTTAAATTCAGGAGCCATATGCTAGCATTCCAAGAAGCAAGACACCACTGCTTAGTCCACGACAGAAGCAAAATACATTTCTGCTGCTACCGCAGTGAACCGGGCTATATGGCTGAGGAAGATTATGCAGGATTTGAGGCAAATTCAAGAAGAACCAATTGTGATTTTTTGTGACAATCAGTCAGCTATTGCAATGGCAAAGAATCCAATCTTACACGGCAGAACAAAGCACATCAAAATCAAATTCCATGCTATGAGAGGAGCAGAGAGTAATGTTGAAGTGAAATTAGTCCACTGCAGGGGTGAAGAACAAATTGCGGATATTATGACCAAAGGTCTACCTAAAACCAAGTTTGAGAGTTTGAGACTTAGACTTGGTGTTTACAGCAAGATTATCAAGGAGGAGTGATGAAGTTGGTGATAACCTGCTGGAAATGGGACAAAATCCTGCTGAAGGTTTAAGTTGCATTTTGGAGCCAAAGTTTCTGTTTTTGTTTTGTTAGGCTGCAGTTGTTGTTGCAGCAGATTTTAAGGCAATCAAGTTAAGCTTATTTGACATGTTTTGTTGAGATTAAGACTTGATTTGGTATGTGCATTGGTTGAAATTCAAATGTAATATTTTTATTGCAATGCAGTAGGTAAAACAGTAGAACTTTCTTGTATAAAAACTTTTGTTCTGTGAATGAAAACAGAAAGTGAAAAACTTTCAATTGTTGCCGTCTCTTTCCATTTCAAATTCTCACATTTTACTCTGATTATCACTTCATCTGAACTAACACAAAAGTTGCTGTTCAAGATTATAATTTTCATATGCAGATGATATTTTATTGTTGACACCAGTCTCAATGAAGTATGCATCTGACATGTAATCTATGCCTGTTATCTTGTCAGTGTAGTTGGAATCACTGGATGTTCCACAATCTAGGCTAAAAAATCCTGGAAAATAAAAACAGAGCAACAAAGAAAATCATTGTATATCCTACAAATAAGTATGAAATTGATATTTAGAAGTTCAGTTATCGAAACCTGATTGCTCCTGGGCATGAACCAAAACAGCAAGAGCAACTCCACCAAGAAACGAAAAGATTAAACACTTCAACATCTTCACTGCCATTTGGGGTTCTTCTTGCTTATTACTTAAAAAGAAGTGATTGTGTTTCAATTTATGCGGCCAAAGCAATGCTTTAGATATATAATTGTTAGAATAAGTATTACCACATTAGTATATTCATCATATTAATTTACAGAAATGTTCCTATCATGTGTTTTCATTATGATGCACTTGCAAAATTTTGAGAACAAGTCAATTTGTAAAGTAAATGTGATTAAGTTTAAAAATGACCCCAGCGTACAAGAAAAGACAGCTTTGATAAATGGGATTGGGTAATTGGCTCAAAGAAAGATGGTGTCTAACCATATATATATATATATATGCTATAATAGCCTAGCAACTTGGGGATGTGGAGCGGGGTTCAAACCCATCACTGCATCCATCATCGCCTTTAAACACGTAGTTCTGATATCATGTGGGACTCCATCACCGCTTTCAATTCAGTTTCAAAGGCATATATATACTATTACAACCTGGCAACATGGTGATGTGGGCTGAGGTCCAAACCCATCGTTGCACCCATCATCACCCTTAAACGTGTGGCTCTGATATCTTGTGGGACTCCATCAACACCTTCAGAGAAATTTCAAAGCCACATATACTATAACAACCTAGTAACTTGTATGCTAATTCAATGAAAATTTCAAAGGAAAAATATAAATACTGCATCGGGGATTTTTGAATATCCAGTTCTAGAAGCTCGAGTTAATTTTCTTTTTGCTCAGTAATTCTAAGTCATACCCACATGCAAGGAATTTAAAAGGGTATCCTTGATAAACATTTTAAAAGAAATTACATGTAAAATTATTCATCATGTTTATTTTCATTGAAGGGTCAACATCTATTTACTTTATAATCTAAACCATCACATGTTTCTCTGGTTTCTAAACAATGAGCTGTTATCTTAAAACATCAACAAAATAATTTTGCTTAATTTGATTGTTTGAGTTTAACTTTTAGCTCTCCAAATTGTGCTTATCATTTGCAGGAAAAAGTTATTCATGATCATGTCTTGAGAAAATCCAACCTTGAGTTAGGTAATTTATTGTCTAATGCCAAGTTACATTACATTATTAAAATAACTCACTTAATTAACATATGATTGTTTGTGTATAATATCTCAAACCTTGATGTGTGGAAGGTGCAGCTTGGAAATTTCTGTACACTTGCAAAAGATCCTACCAAACTAAGGGATGAATTTTCTTTATAGGCAGGAAGTTTTTCAAGTGTTGAAGAAATCAACCTTACAAGTAAAATTAATGATTGACTACCCCCTACTTGTTGGCTTTCAATAATGGCAGCCTAAGTTTAACCCTCTGCCTGCCTTTCAATAATGGCAGCCTAGAACAAAACACTTCCCCCATCTGCATCTCCAACCCAACGTTATTTTGGTGTAAAAACACCAAATGCCGTGAAAGTTGGCCTCCAAACATTCCACAAGCTCACGCCAAATTTGGTATAATATTATTTATACACACCAATTTGACATGATATTGTTTAAATACTATAAAAATTATTTTTTTATTTATATTTATATTAATTTGATTATTATTTATATTAATAAATCATAAATATTAATATGATGTAAAATTAAAAACAAAACTTTATTCAATACAAATATTAAACTACAATAACTCAAAATAAAAATTAACACTAATTTGCTTTTCTCAGTAACTAAATACAATAATCTTTTTTTTTTTTTTTACATCATTTTATATTAGATGTAATGTTTTTTATATTAAATATAATGTTTATTTGGTTAAATAAATATTTAATTTTATTAAATTAATATAATTTTTAAAATAATTATTATTTAATAAAAATATCATTCTTAATATTTAATTAATATATACAAAAATATAGAGTAAAATAGATTAATCATTGATTATTACATAGAAAGAAAAAAAAAATGATTATTCTAAAAAATTACAGATAATGATCAAGAAATGTTCTTTCACACATATAGCATTAAGGTCAAAGAAATAAATATATATGATCTAAGACCCGAATTTAATATATTTTTTTTTTACCAGAAAAAAAAAAACTGCATTAACTACAACAGAAACATAGCTGCTGTCGTTTTTTATTTCTCCTCCAAAAGTAGTATACTAACTGACGTAGTAGAAGGTCTAAACAGAGCACAAGAAAATTTTTATTCATACATGTACATTTATATTAAGAGAATACTACCTTTCTACGAGAGATGTGCTGATGTGGCATCCGATTTATGCTTATGTGGAGTCAAAGTTTTTATACTTTGGTCAGAGGTAATTTAGAAGAAAGAAAGGGAAATTTCTGGAAATTCCCTTGTGTGATATTTGTTTGTGCCTTAGGTCGACACTTCTGTGTGCTCTCTAGATTGTTCTCCCTCGGTTACAAAGAGAGAAAGTTGTTGAGGGAATTTGCAAGGTGAAGCTTTGGTGTTCGCAGGATGAGATCGACGATGGTGATGAGATTTTTTTGTAACTAACTTTTATTCCTTTCTTCTTGTATAAATTATTGATTAATGATATGTATTTGTGTGTCAGAGGTGTGAGACACATGGGAGCAATATAGGGTGGATTACAGAGGGGAGTTGTCACTAGGTTCTTTGTGTAAACTGACTCACAAACTCTGTAAAGTTTCTCTTCATCGTGTATGTTTTCTACTTCCCTGAAGAGTGGATGTAGGTAATCAATCTGATTACCGAACCACTATAAATCTATGTGTATGCTCTTATTTTCTTTATATTTCTAGCTTGCTGTGAATGTTTTGGTTACTTTAGAACTTAGGTTTTCTAACCTGGACAATCTGCAAGTTCAACAGGAGATAATTCAGCATGAAGATTTGAATTAATCCACTCATTTATATGCATTTATATATGATAGAATCTACAAACTAATATAGCTGCAAGTTTTATTTTATTCATACAAGTATTTGGATGTTTATAAGCTAAAAGAGAAAAGAGAAAAAAAAAAAAAAAAGGAAGTTCCATAAAGAAAATTCCAGCAGGTTAAAGAAGCTTTGAATCTAAAGAAACACATGCTTTTTTTTTTTTTTTTTAACTAGTTAATCTTGTGTGAGGTTATTTAATTTTTAATGGAACTGAAACTCGTGAGAAAAAAAATCTCTAATTTCCTGAATTTCCACTTTATAAACACAGTATGTGGCGTTCAAGATAGAAGAAAATTCAGATTTCAGAATCAGCCTCTGTTGTGATCTTCTCCGTTTTTCTACTTAAATTATCTATATTATGTACTTATGTTGATAAGATTCAAAGATTGTATATCAAACCTTTATAATGCAACAGAAGTTGAATTTTCCAAAATGTGTTGTAGATCATTCTTCTTCGGAAGAACCCAAGAAAAGGGTCATGAATTTGAAAGGGACACAAGTATAAATAAAGCCTATTCAAAGTATGATTTTAGAAGTATATATTAATATTAGTGATGTAATCACAGAGTAGTCTGTTCTGCTTTCTTCTGTTATATTTTATCAGGCACAAAGAACAGAGCACTCTGTTCTGCTCTGATCTGCATTGATTAAATAGCATAATTTGAAGCATTTCAACTAAAATGTCAGCATCAGAATACCATACATTGCAAATTTGTTAATTATGGAGAAGCCAATTGTATTTTAGGCCATATTTTCAACATGTTTACATTATGACCCCCTGTCGTGGATTAGCCAACAACAGATTTTAGAGCTTATATATTTTGATGGGTTTATAAAATTAGATTTTAGAGCTTATATATTTTGATGGGTTTATAAAATTTTCCCCTCAAGGTTTGAGGAAAGTACAAAGACACCCAAGGATTTCAGATAGTAACAAATACACCAAAAAAATTGATTATTCCACCATATAAATAGTATAATACCCTTTGTCTAGTTATGTATTCTTCAGTTTTTTTTAAATTTTTATTTATTTAAAATAGAAATTGAAGAAATAAAAACTGAAAAGAATCTGAAACTTTATTTCAAAAGGACTTTAGTATTCTTGATCTGATTATACTTCACTCTCCCATTTTATTTTATTCAATTTTTACTATGTAATTTAATTAAATTTATGGTTTATTATTAGATAAAAGGTACCCTTGGTAAAGTAATCAATTTTCTGGATGCATATCCAAAACTTTCGGGTGTGTTTAGTACTTCCGTCAAACCCTGAGGAGGAAATACATAACCCCATATTTCGATGACTGTACCAGATTACTTAATACTGCAAACTTCATTCTTTGAACCATTTTCGTGCACTTGAGTAATGTCATGTAAAAGAAAAAACCAGTGATACCATTGTTTGGAAACCATTTCTTGTTTCATTAGAGTTTAGAACTTTTCTTCTTCCTCTAGGTAGTTATTAGGAGATATAGATATTTTAAGTAAATATTCATATATGCAAACTTGGTTATGAATATTTATAAAAAAAAACAGCCCTTAATCAATCCTATGCATTTCAGGATAACTAGTAATGCTAATCTGTGGAGGAATTGAAGGTCAAACACCAAATAGTGCCGTTTTCTTCTCTGTTCTGGTTCAACAACTGCAGCAGCTCTATTTCATATGCTAATGTATGTTACACAAAGTAGGACATCGCTGCCTTATTTCTTTATGTTTCTTCAAGTACACAAGAACATTGGTCCAAGACCGGTTACATGTATGAAAATATATATGCAAGGTTAAGTGGGATACATATTGTAAAAGTACTACCTTGGTATGGGAGATAATTCAGTGTCGACATTCAAATTCATCGATAACATAGAATCTCTTGATTTGGCATCCTTGCCCATCTTGCGAGCTACCTCCATTGCTAAAGACTCATTCAGTTCCACCGCTATCTGATTCATGGTTGGCCTTTTGGCAGAAGTTGGAGAAACACAAGTCATTGCTACTTCTACAGCTTTCCAGACAGAGTTTGTCTCAAAATCTCTATGCAGTCTCGGATCAACAATATTTGCAATATCCCCCTTCGAAAGCATGAAACTCACCCACTGACTTATATGAGTCTTCTCAAGCGTATTTTCAATGACAGGTTTACTTGTTATTATCTCCAAAAGAACCACTCCAAAACTATATA